TCTGTCTTTGTTTTTCCTTATACTAAATTTAAAATTTTTTTTATTACGTATGATATGAAGTTCCAATGCTTGTTACTTGACGGAAAAAAATATATTGTGCTACATTTGTAAATAAATATAATATTTAAATTTATTAAATTACTTGAATTTGCTTACAAAATTATGAAGCCCAACAGCAATATAACAATTTAAGAAAAGAAAATCAATTTGAACGGGAAATTATAACAATCAGACATTTTCACAAAATTTTAAATTTAAAATTAATTTATCACAACATATTAAAAATAAAATTAATTATTTGAATATATCTTTAAAAGTAACTAGTTACTTTTGGCAGTTACATTTCAAAAATTATAACTAGTTACAGTTACTAGTTACAATTTTAAAAATATAACTAGTTAGTTATTTTTTAGCCAAAATGTAACTAGTTACATAACATCCCTAAAACAAACCAACGATTAGGACAAGCCAACGATATGATGATTTGTGAAACAACTTGATGAACAAACTAACTACGATAACATAATTAAACCTATGTGAAGGCTTTTGGAGAAGAAGAATGTTATATATTCAAATTTGTACTGTTATTACAATTCAATTTATTCAAATTATATTTTTATTTTAGTTATAATTTTATTTTATATCTTAACCTTTTTAATATTATATTCTAATTTTAATTTGTAAACTCAAAATGGCTCCAACGGCTCCTCAAATTTAAAAAAAAAACTATTAGTGATTTGATTTTAGTTACCATTAACAATTAAATCTTAATGAAAATACACACATTTTTTAGAAAAATATTATTTATTTATTTATAAAATTTAATAAATAAACAAGAACATACTAAAAATATTGGTTATAAAATAGCCATTCACTCGTTTCATGAAATAAAAGCAAGTATATTTTTTATTCCTCGTCTTGAATATGGTAAGTCAGTGACTGATAGTACTGGACTTGGAGGAAGAAGTACGTTTGTTAAAGTTTTTAAGTTAATATTGATCAATTATTTAATTTGATGCTATTTCTTAGCATACAGGAGCTACCTTTCCGTGGGGCTGGTTTAACAAACATTACGGATGCTGCAAAAGACATAATTTATTCTTCTGGACCTGTTTATAGCAATGTATTTATACATCGTCCAAAAAGATCCTGAATTAAATAAAATTATGATATTAATGCAAAAATGCCCAATATATATCACCCCAGATTCAAAACGAAGTAATATCTATTATGGCAGATATGATGCTTGAATATATCTCAGATAAATATAATAAAAGTGAGATGCCTTTTTTTTTGTCTTAAGGCTAATGAGACAAAAGATGCATCAGGTTGTGAAAACCTGAGCATAATTATTCGCTATATTTACTCTGGAAATCCAAGAAATAGGAATTATTAATTTAAAATGTCTTCCTGCTGAAAGCATTACTGATCCCATTTTAAAGCATTTTAATGAGTTAAATATTAATTTAACGAATATAATAAGCCAGGCATATGATGGTGCAAACGTCCTGACTGGCCAAATGGAGAAGTGCAAACCCTACTTCAAAAAAAATTAATAAAAAAGTTCCTTTTATACAATGCTGAAACCACAAGTTGCATCTTGTGGTTCAAAATTGGTATAATAATATTGTTATCATTTCTAATTTTTTTAATTTATCCAATGCATTGTATGATATTTTTAGGCGTTTTAATCTTGTAAATATACAGGTCATACTCTTAAGAGACTTTTAGTCAAGAGGTGGACTGGTCATTTGACATCTCGCATCATTTATGAGAATTTTGAGGCCATTTTTCTAATATAACTCTTAATTCAGAGGTTCCACTCATGATTCAGTTGAAGTCTCTGGTCTTCTATCTTAATTAATATAAATTACCTTATATTAGCCATTATAATTTATGAGATATAATAATAATAGATTCACTAAATAAGTATTTATAGATGCTGAAATTGTATTGATTCATCGATCAATATATTAAAATAAAAAAACTATAATTCTTTTGATTTGATTAGTATTTAGGCTGAAAATCCTTTAGCAAAATTTAATTTCACCCCCCAAAAATTATCAAGGATACGTAAAACACTTATAAATTTTCAAGATTTTTAGTCTAGACCAAATTACAATTTGATTGTGAAAAAGTCTCCAATTGGAGTTCTTTAAAAAAGAATTATTTTGAAATATTGATTACTTTATTGATCGTTTTTTAGATAGATTTGCGCAAGATGATTATAATTTTCTATCATGTAATATATTCTCCCCCTCTTGAACCTGATTATTTTATATCAGATAAAATGACTCCATTAGAATCATTATTAAACTTAAATGTGGAAACATACATCATGAAAAGAAGCAAAAGGGTTATTAGCTGCAGAAGTTAAAGAAACACATAATTTTGAAAATATCCTAAATATTATGTATAAAAAAAATGCTATTCAGCAGCCATCATCATTGATCAACGCTTCTTGTGAGGCCTCATTCTCTACACTAAAGAGAGTTCTATCGAGCACTAGAGAATCGATGGAAGATCAACGTAAACAAAATTTAGTATTAATGGCTTATGAAAAAAGAATAACACAGAATTTATTTTTAATTCACTTATGTTAAAATTTAAAAATAAAAATCGTCGTATTATACTATAGTAATATTTTGTATATTCATATTATAGTATTATTTTGTATTCATAACATTTACAAATTTTTAATAAAAAGAGCAAAAATTTCTATGAATGCTTAATTATTTGCTTTATTTTAAAAAAAATAGTGGCCCCCTTAAGTAAACAGCTGCCCCCTCCCTCCAGCTGGAAATTCCTGGCTGCAGCCCGGATTTGATATAAAAATGTCATTTAAAATATTAAGAATGTGATTTAAAATAATAAGAATGTGATTTATACATTAACCATTAATTAGTTAAAGAATCCGAAGAATGTGATTTATGCATTAAATATTAATCAAGTTGAAGATATTATATGATTCCAAAACAAAATCTATTTTCAGGTTACCATATTAATAGATTATATATACATTTTGCTCTTGATCATTTATACTAAAAACATTTTCACTACATAAAATATTATAGCTTAGCTTATGAGCCAATCCCTCAAAATATAGACATTTGATTGTTTCAATTTATACTAAGGAATATTTCACTGAATATGAAGAAAATAAAAATAATTTAATTAAATAATTTTGGTATTATTTTTACTGATAAAATAGGAAGAGTTAAAAATTTGATTATTAACATTTTATTAAAGGATAATTATAGGCCTAAATTTTAAAGGTCAGGAGAGTACCATTTAAATGGGAAGAAGAATTAGACACTATTCTCAAACAATGGCACAAGGAGGACATTATAACTCCTGTAAGATTTTCACAATGGGCTACTGAAGTGTTCGGAACGAATAACAGGACCCCAAAAGATGGGTTGGGAGAGGGTTCAATCAAGATCAAACCATAGGAATTTTTAGGGATGAGGCCTTAGAAGCCGTATTAATGGTGGTGCTTTAACCATGGTCTAGATAGATTCAAAGAATACCAACTAAAATTAGAGGGGGATACCAGGGGTTATTTTCATGGCATGGCCTGGTCCACACCTAGGAGTAACCCATGGCTTTCAATCTTAGATATCATTCAATTATTTGCAGGCGCTGCCGGGGCCACACCACTGAGAAACCGGGGCTTTCATTAATGAGTATCAAAATACACGAAATTAAATAGGGGAAAAATTATCAATCTTTATTTCTATCAAAATAGGCTTATGTTTATTAAAATCATTATGTCGCCTTTATAAAATCAAAGCCGGAATATATAAAAATAATAAAAATATCTAAATTAACTACAATTGAAAACATTTTCCTTATAATAAAAATAAATGCTGTGTAAAATTTTGCTTGTATTTATATTTTTTAATAATATTTTATAAAAGAATAAATTTTACAGGGAGAGATACACCGAGAACAATGATAAAAGGTATTAATAAAGTATATATAAGGTGTGAAATCTGCAATTATATAAATATAATATGCAATTATTATAATATATATTATATTATAATTTAATCCATCTATATAGATATGGTATGTTAATATTTATAATCAAAAATTTATCTTATTATAATATTTTAATATTAAATTTGGAGGTATAAGATAAAATCTTGGGATCAAAAACTATTGTTATATATAGGAAAGATATTTAAATGTATATTAGCCTTTCCACTGAAAAAATCATTCCTTGAGTGATCTTCTTATGTTTCCTTTCTAACCACTAACATTGTGATCGATCTAAAACCTCATAAAATCCTTAAAAAAATTTCAATTACTTTTAATGATTAAAAAATAATTATAAATAGAATATAAAAAATTTATCGAACCTGAAACTATAAAATATTTGAGCCAATGACATATAATATTACCTAGACTGACGATTCATTCATTAAAAGTGTACATCAATACAAATCAGCTAGAGACGCCATCTTGGTTACTGTAATAAATATTAAAATTTTAAACGAGAGCCTAATTTTATATTATATCTGATGCAAACTTTATTAAAGAATTGCCTGATCATCGAGATAATAAGAAAGTAAGTTATCAATTTAATATTAGTTTTTAACATGAAAATAATTATTATAAAGGTTACCAAAATGGCGGGTCCAGCTGATTCGACGCTTAAAAATGCATTTTAATGAATGAATCGTCAGTCTAGGTATTATTATATGTCATTGATTTGAGCTCATAACAAAGCGGGAAAAGTGAATTAGGCCAGACTCTTACATAAAAGAAATAATTTTTTAAAAAAAATCATTTATCTGAGCAAAATGGCATGCAAAATATTGTAAATTTTTATTTCTAAGCTCCTTATAATCAAGATTAGAATTAAATATACCTAACTAAGGATAGGTATGTTCTTTGAAAAAATCAATATGTTTACTCTCAACAAGCCAGCTTAGCGATTCAGTTAAATCGACTCATATGGAGCGTCCCACCCAAGCTATAGGTTTTTTTTCCACATGGATATCCTGAATTTCGAAGTTCACCTGGTAAACCTGCTCTCCTAGAAATTTCGTAGGGGGGAAAGAGCGTTGTTAAAATTTATATCAATAGAGATGGATAATGACAAATCTTCAGAAAAGTAAGCTGCTAATCCTTGTCCAATCATATAATGCAGAAATAGATAATTTTCGGCTTGAAATTTTATTAGTTGATTGGGCGTAAATTGTGTGTATCCTCAAGAAAAGAATACAGCTAATTATCCTGATCAAGATTGGTGAAAAAAGATATAACTATTGTTTTATTTTTAACAAATTATTGAAACTTTAAAATTAATTTTATATGAATAATATATTTCATAGTTAATTAATCTATATTTATAGGATATTTTTAAACCTAATAATATTAAATATAAATTTAATCATTCTTAACTAAAAATTAATATATTTTTTTTATAAAACATAAATCCACTCAGCTATCTTTTAAATCTTATGTATATAATTTATTTATTTTTTCTATAAAAAAATTTCTTCTAATTTAAAGATGTATATTTGGTAGAGATCTGCAAAGCTAGAATCGATAGTGTTGCGACAACTCAACCGAGTCCTTTTAACTGAGACTCAAGTCGAGATTTTAGTCTATTAGTCGATTCATTTTTTACAACTATATGTCTGAATTTGAGTCTTGAATTCAAATCAGGGTTTCGAACCGTTAAGTATAGCGGTTCGGTTCGTTTCTATTTTTAGTTAAAAATTTTATAAATGTTTTGTTCCATTTCGCAAGGAAGGAAGGAAGGAAGTTTTTGGAAATATTCATATCAGTTCATTTCGGTTTATAATTTAAAACGGTTCTTTTCGGTTGGTTCCGGTTTTTATAAATTTGATTTTAAAAAAAAATTAATCATAAACCATACATATTAATCTTAGAGAAAAATCCTTTTAATTTATATTTTTATAATTTCTTATTTAATTTAACCATGATAATCGAATAGATATTTTTATTAAACTTAGTAAATATAAATTAGACAAATTACTTTTTTTTATTTCATAAATAAAATAAAAACAAACATACGCAAATACAACGAGGAATAAAATAACGCATAAATATAATGGAATTTACTATTTAAGTTTAAAAAGAGAATTAGAACGCACAACTAAAATTTTTTTCTAATATTTCACTATTTAATTTAGTTCTCTGCCAAGAGAGTATAAACAGGTTAGAAAATGCTCTTTCTACGGATACCTGTGTAGCTGGAACTCCTAGCGCAAATATAGCTAACAAAAAGTTCTGGCATACTAGACTTTACATTTTTACAATAATTTAAAAGATTACTATCTTTTTCTAATCTCTCTCTATATTATCGAATGACCGAATTATATATTCTATTTCTATACATTTATTATAATTTTCTCCCTGAGAATTATTCTTGTTAAGGCTTTCAAGCGACTTTAATAAATCTTCAAAATCATCATCTTAATTATCTTTCGAATGTGAACACGTCATCATAGTATCTAGAATTCAAATATTCTGATTATTTAAATTTTGTATCAAGTTCCAAGTTTTAAAAAGAAGTTTTTTGGCCATTGCTTTTTCTTCAAATGTTAAAAATCGGTACTTGATTTTTATTAGATGTTAGTTATTAATGGTAGAATTATATGATCTTCCCTAAACTATTAGCAAGTATTATTATAAAAGCTAATTAACAACTAATATATACATATAAGAATAAACTTGTTAATTTAGCCAAGAATAGTTTGTGTGGTTAAGATTATATTTTATCTAATTAACTGATAAATTGAGTATTTAAAGTAAAAAACAATAAACTTGGTATTGATTGATATGTAGATAATATAAAAAAAAAATTTAATTTAAAAAGAAATCATGAATTTAAAAATTTCCCCCAAGGATAATTAAAATTTCAGATTTAGGTTAACAATTTAAATTAATTATTTTCTAAAACCGTTTTGAATCGGTTTAAACCAAGGGTTCGGTTTGCTTTTTTTATATTTTCTTTATAACGGTTCGGTTCGGTTTGAAACCCTTAGCCAAATCATTGTTTTGGTGGCTAAGATAAATAATTAATTGTAAAATATTTAATTAAAATTATTTAACCAATATCATATAGAAAAAAAACTATAAGTTTTACATTTAAAATCTTTTTTATATTTATAAACAGAGTTTTTATTTACCTAACAAATAAGTATATGGCGGCGAATATTTTTCGGCTCCCTCTTGCTATACATCTCCATCTTCTGATTATTAAAAACTGTTTTTGTCTAATTAATTTTTTTTAATCCTGATATTCAATTAGCGAGAATGAAAAATATAAAAAAATATCTTTTGGGCTTCAGTCCGGGGTGCTTGTTTTATTTTATTTTGTAAATTGTAATTTGATATTGCTGCAGGAAAAAAATATTCGGATGATTCTAGGCTGAAATAAAAATAAATTGGGCATAAAAAACTGGTTTGATGATAGGATTATAAGTAAAAAGAAATTATTTTAAGCTTCGGCAAATGTTTGGTTTCCCTATTTGCGACACCCTTTGGTACCAGAACTTCTCTTGACCCAGGTTTTTAACTTGTTCATATTTTAAAGATATTTTCGAGAAGAGACAGTGGCGTAGGCATGGGGGGGGGGGTTGTGAAAAATGGAAAAAAAAAATTTTTTTTTAATTTTAATTTAATAAATTCTTAATAAACGCTTGATTTTTATGTTTTAAATTTATTATAAATAATAATAGATATACACATTTGATTATTTTTATATTTATTAAATAAATTTTATATTATTTTGCATTTCATAAAAGTTGTCTAGTTTATCATATTCCATTTTATAAAAATATATATTTCTCATTTTCAATATGAATTTCACACCACCCAAAAAAAGGGAGTTATTTATTCAAACGTATCATGATATTGACTCAAAAAATCAAAAAAAAAAAACTAAAAAGATTTTTTCCGACCAGATTCATCGAAAGACAAGAGTCGGTGAAACTCTTTATTGAACTATATGATGTTGTCTTTGCAGCACTAGTTTTATATATCAAGAAAAAGATTCAGCAGATGCCGAAAATCTTTTGCAGGCTATTATTAAGCCACAGTTTTTTATTTCGATTCAATGTGTTTATTTTTTATTTAATTATACATAAGATTTTAGCAAAATGCTACAAAAAATTGATTTGGATTTAAGGGAGATTATGAATAGAGCAAAGGATATTGTTGAAATATTAACAAATATCAGAGAGAATGTGGATGAAAAATTTCATGAAATATATGAAAAAGAATAGAGCAAAGGATATTGTTGAAATATTAACAAATATCAGAGAGAATGAGGATGAAAAATTTCATGAAATATATGGAAAAGTAAAGGAGATTGCTAATATGTTTGGAATTGAAATTTTTAAACCTAGAGTAATCTCTAGACAATCCAATCGATCAAATATTGATGCATCTACGATTGAGGATTTTTATAAAATAAACATTTTTATTCCCCTTCATAATTATATTTTAAAAAGCTTTTATTTTCTTTTGCCGGTTGAGTCTAAACTGTTGATTACACTTGAAACACGAGAGGATATTAAAAAAATCTCGGATTTTATGCTGATGATTTAGTAGGTTCATATGATAAGTTACTTTGTGATGTCGAATTTTGGTATAAAAATCTTGACAGAATAGGGTATTCTTTGAGACCAAAAAATGCTCTGCAGACCCTTTCCATGTGTAATCGCATTTTAGATTCCCTGCCTAATATCAAAACATTATTAATTATTTTAGCTACCTTGCCAATTAGTACCTGCACTAATGAAAGGTCTTTTTCAACTTTAAAAAGGTTAAAAACCTATTTAAGAAACACAACCGGTGAAAAACGTTTAAATGGATTAGCCCTATTGAATATTTATAAGGAGATTATTTTTGATAAAAATTTGATTCTAGATGAATTAGCAAAATCTCAGAGAAAAGTAGATCTCTCTTTTTAAATTCAAATCAAAAAATAGCAATAAAATTTTATTAGTTTTAATATATAAACAATTTTTTTTTGTAAAAAAAGTATTATTTATAAGATAATATCATCATATTTTTTAAAATACCATTATTGCATAAGAATTACACATATTTTATATAATTGTAAAAAATTACTTTTTTTTAAATAGAGTCTTTATACATTATAATTTTTAATATTAAAATCTGTATTATATAAAATATCAACATTTTGCAAATATTTTAATTAATAAAAATCAGAGACCTGCAGAGGTACCATTTGCACGGCCCGGCCCGGTTTTAAATTTTTTAGGCCCGGCCCGGATATTTTTTAAAAAAAAAATTCAGGCCCGGCTCGGAATTTTTTAAAATTATATTCAACCTGGTATATACAAAAATTCACCTATGAGGTATTTTACCATATTTTTCAGCGAGTATTATCGCTTATTATTTAAAAAATACATGTAAAAAGCTAATATTTTGAGAATATTATATTGAATTTATAAAAATTATAAAACTGTTATTTATAAAAATGGATATTTTGAGCATATACTATATTTTATATTGCATTTAAAAATAATAAAACTAATATTTAACTTATAAAAATGGAAAATATTTTGAGAATATAATATATTGTATTTAATTTACTATTTAATTTATAAAATAAAAATAAATCGCTATTTAAAAAAATGCATGTATAATAAATAGTATTTTGAAAATATAATCTAATTGCACAATATTAATATAATTTATTTTATAATATAAATTTTTAACAAAAGAAGATAATTGTATTATATAATATTGTAAAAAAAAATAATGAAAAATGTTGGATTAAAAACTTTCGTGACTCAAGGTAAATATAATAAATGCAATAAATATTTGACAGTTTGCAAAGTAAAAAACCAGCATGATTGACGAAACCCTATACTCAAGAAAGATATTAAAAATTCACAAATTATCATGAAGAAAGAGAAGCATATCTACCTTTTCAGGTTGAAGATTACTTCTTCTTTCTTCAAGAATTCTCCCAGTAGTGGAAAAATTCCGCTCACAGCTTGCACTTAAAGCAGGAATTGCCAATTTTGCTAAAATTGGAAATTCGCTTTGATGAGCCGCCCACAACTCTAACAAATTATCCACCTTAAATGTTTTATCTATTATTTATGTAATTATAATATTAATCATCGGGTATTGACATATTACCAGAATTACCATCACCCCATTTGTCATAAAACGATTCAGTTTGTTTAACAACAGTCGTAATTTGACTGGTCGATGGTATTTCATTTACTTCCTGAGCCTCTTGTAATTTAATATAATCTTTTATATAGTTTTCCGTCATTTTGCGATCTGTCCCTGACTACATACGTAATTGCTTGAATTTGGGACAGAGAAAAAGAGATATAAAATGATACTTGTGTAAAACAAATTTTTCAATTAAAAAATGCTTTATATTAAGTAAAATCAATTTTATTTCTCCTTTTTCGCTTTGAAAGGTATTACAAACTTCAAGAAGTGATATTCCTTTATTTGATTGTTTTGGTAAAATATATTCTAAAAATTTAGATATGATTTATAAAAAAATATATTAATACTTTGAATACATTTGCAGGAAATTAATAATTAGATCGATCTGTAGGTGTTAGATAGTGTTAACCATCACCCAATATTATATTAATCATAACTATAATATAATATAATCTTATAACCATTAACTCATAATGTAAAAATTTTTATAAAAAATATTAAGGCCCGGCCCGGGTTTAACAATCTTAGGCCCGGCCCGGCCCGACCCGGATATATTTTAAAAAAATTTTTTTAGGCCCGGCCCGGGTATATTTAAAAAATTTAAAATACGGCCGGGTTTAGGGCCGGGTCTGCAGGTCTCTGATAAAAATATATACATGATTAAATAAAGGAATGTAAAATATATAATAAAATACCCTTTCTGTTATATGAAAATATAAAACAATTTTAACAAATCCAAAAATATAAGCAATTAAGTGTTCAAAAAAAATGAGAGGTTTGGGGGGCGTGTTCAAAAAATAAGAGGTTTGGGAGGCGAAGCCCCCCCCCCCCAAAAAAAAATTTAACCCCCCCCCCCTCCCATGATAAAATCCTGGCTACGCTACTGAGAAGAGAGAGATATTGTAGAATTAGAAAATGAACATAAAAAGGCAGATAGAAAAACTAGAAGAAAATAATAAATTCGATTTTAAATATGTTATAAAAAAAGACATATCAACCACACGCAAGTGTAGGCTTAAACTTCCAAAAAAAAATTCATCTATTAAGTAGCAAATATTTAAATCAACCATACGCCAAATTGAAGGCTTAAATTTCCAAAAAAAACTTCATCTATTAAGTAGCAAATATTTTTTAAATATATAATTTTTTAATTTTATATATAGTCACAGTCAAACAAAAGAATAACTTTTTAATTTAAGGTCAAAAGCTAAGTTCTTTCCAGTATATGGCTTAAATTTGCTGATAGATCACAATTGATTGAATCAAAGATTTATTTTTATTTTTTATAATATATATAATAACATATTTCATTTTTTTTATATCGTACATTTTTATTTGTTTGTGTTTATATCGTACATTTTTATTTGTTTGTGTTTATATTACATTTAAATAATATTTGTTATTTTTCCTATCATTTATTATTTAAAATGTGTTTTAGCACTCGTCCTTCTTTGGAATGAAGTCCGATACGTTTCATCCGTCCTATAAAATAATCCTAATAACGGTCCGCCTTCGCTGCATGTCTTATGAATGTGCCCATCTAAAAAATAAAAAGATAGGATTTGGATATTCAACAAGGCTATAATAAATACATTACAAAATGTTTATTAAAAATATTTCGTCATATTTTTGTTACCAGCTACGAACTCTATCCATAGCTGATTGATAAATAGTTAGTAATCGCATTAGTAGCATTTTTTTAAGATTAAGGGAATTTTATTCGGCGTAAATTTTCGAAACACTAAGTAGGTTACCCCCCACCCCCATATATTTTTAATACAGAGTTCCTATTTTAATCTTTTCGACTGGAGGCAAGGTAAAAGATTAAGATATGTTATTTGTATTTTCCTGGAAATTTTTAATGATTGATAAAATAATTATTGGTTTTTTGAGACGAGAAATGATTATCGATTTTTTTGACTTTAAGTTAATATTTATTACAAATAAAAAAAATAAATAAATATCACTTATAGAATATATTATAAATGATTACCATTTATGGATATATATTTTTTGCTATACCTGACATTCAACGAAATTTTTTTATAAAAATTTATTGCCTAATTTCACAAAATTGCTAGTTTGGATTTTAAAAAATTAAATATTATATAAAACGATTAATAAATTTTATAAACTTACTTTCTCATGATATTCTATAAAATATTAATTATTACCACAAATTAAAATAATTGTTGAGTCGTCTATTTGCTAAAATTCAAATATTTATTTCTTTAGAAGGAGTCATAAATACAGTGAAAGTATCAATTCTTAAATGGAATTATCCACGAACTTAAAAAAAATATAAAATAAAATAATATTTAAAAAATAAACATGGTTGCTTGATCAGCGGAGGAAGAGGTTTAAGATTAATCAAACTGACGAAATCTCGTAAAAAATCCCGTTCATTGATCTATTATGAGAATAAAAACACTCCGCCTAAGCATACGCGGTTTTTGCAAAGTCTAATCTATAAAATAGCCTATAATCCATTTAGGAAATATTCATTTCTCAAATTCACCTTCTTCATACTTCTTGTGTCATGCATCGAGGTATGCGTCATTGTTTACTCCATAAAGGGGCACCGATGGTTCAAGTCCTCGATATTTTCAACCCTTGATTTTCGGAATCATGGCTATAATAGAAACCGTTGTGAATATCATGAGAATCTATACTATAATGTTAACCAAAGGGGAAAAATATTTGGCGAATCCAATAAGGCAGCAACCAAGAAATATACCTTGATAGATATAAAAGATTTTAAATTTATAACCTTGCCCATCCCTTGCGCATACAGGGCAACTAACCAAAAAATTCCCTGGGATTCTGATCCCTTATTTTTACAAGAAGAGGTGTACATTCTCATATTAATTGCATCCGATCCCAACAATTTAGCGTGGCGAGAAGCTATAAGGCAAACATGGGGTAAATTCGATTCAAATCATTCGTGGGCTAAAGTAAAACTTCTATTTCTGTTGGGTACGCGACCAGAAATTCAGCTCTTTAATGAACGTAGAGCCAATCAAAATAGCAGTATATTTGATTTCCAATATATTTTTAATCATTGGAAGACATCGGATGAGACCCGTTTGAAGATGAAGGAAAGATCAAAATTTAATCAAGAAATATGCCACGAAAGCAATAAATACGGAGATTTGTTGATAGGTAATTTTTTTGATTCATATCGTAATTTGACCTACAAGCACGTTATGGGCTTATTGTGGGTTACTGAGTATTGTAGGGAAGTTGATTTCATTATCAAAACTGATGATGATATATATGTGAACACTGGAGACTTGATAAATCTTTTATACCTACTCCTGAATTCTCCAAAATTTGCTTACCCCTTTCCTCAGAACTATTTAAACAACTTAAAAAACGTAACAAATTACCCGCAAGCGTTGTCCTTATTCAATGATAAAGCCCAGCTACCATCCATGTTAATATGCCACAAATATCCAGCTTCATTAGTCATGAGAGATGTGAGAAGTAAGTGGTTCGTAAATTCACGTGAATACAATGACACTTATTATCCGCCTTACTGTTTAGGAACATTCATCATATATACTTTACCGTTGGCTGAAAAACTATTGAATATATCAAGAAATTTTTCTTACTTTTGGATAGACGACGTTCATATCACAGGTACCTTAGTAAGGAAATTGAACCCGTCCATTATAGATTGGAGCGCATTTATATGGAAACAGTTTACTGAAGGTAATTGGAAGTTAAAATCGTCCACATTCAATAGTTTTAACAATGTAATAAATGGCTTGCTCAAAAATACATCGTCAAAAAACCTTAAGATAAACTCTTCGACCCATTTTACAAATAGGGTGATATTCAAAGAAATTCCAACATTCATTGCTTTCCTGCTGCCACGTCAGGAGCCCAATATGTTATTTAGATTTCACGAAATATTTGCTGGAAATGACGATAAAGAATGGAAAATTGTGATAAGCTAATATTTCACTTTAACATATGTCATATTTATTGTAATATTTGCATTCATTCATGTTTGATTGATCCAAATTGTTGATTTTAGTAGCCATGTTTTCTTAAATTTATTTTGAAGAATTCTAAAATATATTTTACACCATAATTATGAAATTGTTTAGGTCATGTTATAATATATAAACCAATAGCATAGCTAAGCCTTTAATCGGAGGAAGAGGGGGGGGGGGTTATTTTTTTTAAAAAAAAATAAAAATTCTAGAAGGATTTATCAGTTACCGGAACTTCTCCCCAGGCTCACACCACTAAGACTTATATTTTGCATATTGTTTAGCCTTTCACGGATGGATGAGTCATATCGAACCAAACCTCGGGTAGGTTGGACTTGAGCAGACATTCTCTTGTCGTTGAACCCTAATTTTATCCTTTTAATTCAGGTCGGGACCTTAATAAAATTTTAAATTTGAATGTTTTTATAAATATTTTTTTAAGAATTTCATTTTCGTTCAGCACTTATAATTTTTCTGCTTTCGTTTACATTATTTATTTTAATAGTCTATAATCGGATTTTATTGGAGACAAAAAAATCTTAATTTTTTTATTGGGGATAGATGTGAAAAAAATATGTCCGATAGCAGGGCTGATATAATATATGTCGTATGGAATTATTGGGGATTCAGAATCTTTCAATTTTAAATCATTTACTGAAGGAAATTTTTAAATTTTAAACATTTGATTCAACCGTAAATGTTTCTAGCACGTATAGGGTCCAACACTCTGAATTTCAGACAATTTTACCGTTAACTCTTGAACACGCTAAATTTATAAAAATATCTCCGAATTTATTTTATTACAAAAACAAACCTAGCAAATTTTATTTTACACAATGGATGGCAGTGGTAAATTCTATCCTATAATTTATTTTATTTATATAAATTTAAAATATATTTCATAATTTTTAAATCAATATTTCTGGACAATCTCTGAAAAGAAATCAAAATTTAATATTAGATTTTTGGGGCACCCCTTAGATGAAATAAATATTAATGTTTTGAAACTACAAATTTTGGTTAATTTTTTAAAAATGAGTGTTGGAATTTTAATATATTAAATGATTACACCAGTATAAAGTTGTTATCCATTAAATATAACAACCACTCTGCCATCATGTACCACTATAAAGAGTTAAGTATGATCTAATAATGTTTAATGATAAAAATTTGAGAATATTTTATTAATAAAATCTAACAATTGTTTATAATCATTTAATTATAAATTTTGTTTAATAATTATTAAAATATAAGAATCATTATTTTAATTGCATATATATGGATGTGATATCAGCTTAATAAATTTTTTAGCTTACTCCAAAATTTGAGTCTTAACAATAGAATCATAAATTATGTAATATGATGTACATCTTACATAAGTATAATAAAAACTGCATGAGTTTTTAGACGATTATGAATCCATTTTTAGACCATCCATTTGAAAAGCATCTTTTAATAACTATTGAAAAATACACTGAATTTAATGGCAAAAATTCACATGTACTCTACATATATGCTGGAATATTTCTGGCCAAATCAGACTTTCCAAATTTAAAATTGCTCTCAATAAATGATATAAAGTTGAGATTCGAAATCCACATCGATTTCATATCCCAATACGACATATATAAAAAATTTTAATTTGAATAAAACAAAAATTTAAATCCTTAGCATATGGCCGATATTTTTGTCTTTTTTCAGTAACCTCATATTGTATCCCAAACTAATTTAAAAAATAAACAGTTCGATTTAAAAATATGCCTTGATAACTTCGAGACTATGTGAATAATTATTTTTATTTAATGATAAATTTATAGTGCACATTAACACATGAATTATTACCGCAAAAAGCAGCATATCTGATTAATTATACTGATGCGATGAGTAACCAACCCATAGTAAAATTAAGCAAAATAATAATTTATTAGAGCCAATCTAATTTAATATCAAATATAAACTAACCGATTAGACCAGGCCTTAGCATGTATTTAATTTTGATAAAATTAAAAAGAAAAAAAGAATGATTCCTTTTTTTTGAAATATTATTCAAACTAGAGATTTGCAAAGTTAGGCCAGGCCCCCCGTACCCGGCCCGGCCAGAATGGGCTTAATTCTATTTAAAATAATTAAGTCCGGGCCGGGCCTAATATTTTTTAAGAAAATTCGGGCCGGGTGGGGCAGGACCTTGGAATTTTTTCTAAATATATCTAAATTTCTCAATTTTATATTAAATTTTTTATGTAAAATAAAAATATGATTTTATTTATTAAAACTAAACGACATATAACATATGTCTTTTATTTTGGGTAATTATAAAAATTAATTTCTATATTTAAATAAATTCGGGCCGGGCCGGTAAATTTTTTTAAAAAAAAATATCTGGTGAGCCACTTTGGAATGTGTAAAATTTTTAAATTGCTTATATCTCAAAAACTATTTTTGCCATCTTTACCTTAATATTTTTATGTAGAATAACATGAATATGTGCCGGTGAATAATAAATATGTTATATTAACTTTATTAAATAAAAATATATTTTATTAACTCTTTTCTTTTTCTTTTCTAAAGGTATATATACATTTTCTAAAATATAAATTAGAATATAAAACGAAATACAAAAAAGTAAAATAATATATAAAAAAGTAAGGTTACGCCGTTTATAAAATAAAATTAGATTATAACAAATAACAAAAAATTAGATTATAAAAATATATAATAAGATTAAGAAATTAGAATAACGCAACATTCTCCCTCTTCTGATAATTTCATCAGAGAAGACACAGAGAGTTTGTTGTCCAAGTGGTTAACCATTTTGGTAATCAAGTTGTATCATAAATCATCATAACGTTGGCTTGTCCCAATCGTTGGTTTGATCAATTCGATTTTGCACGTTGGTTTGTTTAATCACAAGCTTGATATCCATATCGTAAATTGTCTCCATTAATCATAGCTTGTTTGATAGTACTCAATTGTTAATTATCATTTTTCCGAAATTGTTATTATCATAAATAAGTTGCGAATAAGAAATAATAGTTCATCATAAGAATAAATGAAGAATGATAAATCAATAAGATTGTTATATTTTTAGCGTTTTAATTTTTTGCGTTTTAATGTAAGCGTTTTAATATTTAATTTAGTTTATGCAATTAAACATTTATTTTATATTTTAAGTTACATAGTCTTTTAAATAAGCAGGTTTTTTTTTTATTCGCACAGGTCTAGAGATAGGTGTTATATCGTTATTATCAGTAATTTTTATATTTTTATCCATACTTCCCTCCTTAAAAGAATCCTTAGAGTCATAGTTAATAATTGTGTTAAAACAGTTTCTAATTCTTATTTGATCTAAATGTCTCCTCAAAATACCTTTCTCAGTCTTAATTTGGAACATCATATCACTTTCTTTATGTGTGATAATACCTTTGCACCATTTATCATCCCCTTGTATTTTATACCAAACAAAATCTCCTACATAAAAAGTTCTATTTCGTGGTAAAGTAACGTTTATTTTATTCTCCTTCTCCTCCATCGGTTTTAATAAGTCCCATTTAATTCTAATATCTCGATTAAACATTCTCTGTGATGGTGTAACTCCTGTAGTATCATTACGCGTATTTCTATAATTAAGTAAAAATTTGCTAAGTGCGATATCTGGGTCTATTTTAATATTCCTTTTCATATGTGTTTTGAACGTTCTAACCATGCGTTCAACCTGGCCATTGGATTGCTGGTGATAAGCAGATGTAAGCACATGTTTAATACCAAAATTGTTGCAAAATTTTTCAAAATCGTTACTCGTAAAGTTAGTGCCGTTATCAGTAACTATAGTTTCAGGTATTCCGTATAGCGAAATAGTTTTAAAGATTTCTTTTAAAGTAACATCAGTCGTAATATTTTTAACAGGAATAATAATTGGAAATTTGCTGTAGGCATCGACTATTATCAACCAATTTTTTGTAAAAAAACGGACCCGCATAATCTATATGTATCCTTTCAAACGGTTTGGTTGCCGAAACCCATGGTTTTTGTATCTTTATAGGATTATCGTGATATATATTACAATCGTCACAACTTTTCACTTCCATAATGATATCATTATTTATACCAGGCCACCACATGTAATCTTTGGCTAAGGATTTGATTTTTCCTGCTTCCAAGTGACCTTCATGTAATGACTGTAGTATAGTTTTTCTCATATTAGACGGAATTATGATTTTATTGCTTTTGTAAAGACAATCTTTAATTATACTTAATTCCAATTCAATGTTTTTATAAATATTATTCATTATAGGTCTGTTGTTATTAATATCATTTATGACTTGTTTTAATTCCGTATCTTTCAAAGTTTCATCACGAATTTGATCAAAGTTAATAGGTAAATCCTCATATTCATTTATAATGGTTACATTTTCAATAGTTTCATCACGACATTCTTGTGGTAATCTTGAAAGGCAATCAGGAACAACATTATATTTACCGGCTTTATACTTTATATTAAAATCATATCCTCCTAATGTAATATTCCACTTCTGGAGTCTTAACGACATGGTGCTATTATTAAGACCCTTGGTGAAGATGTGAACTAGAGGCTTATGGTCAGTAATAATTGTAAATTTTGTGCCGATTAAATATTCCTGAAATCTCTTTATGGCAAACATTATAGCGAGAGCCTCACGCTCAATATTGGTATAATTCATTTCAGATTTTAATAAAGTTCTCGACGCGAAAGCTATAGGTTTTTCTTTACCATCTTTTTCAATATGAAATAGTACAGCTCCTAAACCACATTTTGATGCGTCAGTGGCTATCCCTATAGGTAATTCAGGGTTAAAATATGTCAAAGCAGGTGGAAGACTAATTAACTTCTTTAGATCATTAAAACTTTTAGAGTGTTCTAGGTTCCAAGCCCATTTTTCTTTGTTGACAATCTTATAAAGAGGATCGGCAATTTCCGCAAAATTGTTCAAAAATTTTCTATAGTAGCCAGCCATTCCCAGAAATGTTGATAATTCAGCAGCTGATTTTGGTTCTGGCATATTA